AACCAACATATTAGCTATATGTATATATAGGTGGTAAAATATATGCAGAAATAAGCGTTATACTCAACAAGAAGTAACAAAGTGCCTTGAGAGAGAAAGAGACTGAGGGCTACTAAAGGAAGCAGAAGGGGATGATTATATCCAGATTGCAGGGAGGGGGCAGGGAGGGGGAGGATGTGGACACGTATACCAGGCTGGTAAAGTTATTATTAACAGTTACACACTGAATACAGGGAAAGAGTTAAAAGGAATGGAAGTGCTCTTTGGGTGGCACCACATTACTGATGCCACAATAAGGAGCTGGAATTTCTTTTTTTCTTTCTTTCCTTACTACTTTCTTTTTAAGAGAGAGAGAGAGTATACATGTGGGGGGGGTGAGGGGAGGATGGAGGCAGAGAAAGAAAGAGAGAATCTTAAGTAGGCTCCATGCTCAGGATGGAACCAGGCACAGGGCTTAATCTCACAACCTTGAGAGATCATAACCTGAGCCAGTGGTCAGACAGAGCTTTACCAACAGAGCTATCCGAAAGTTGCTAAATGGGGTTTTATCATTTCATATTGAGATTCTGGAAGGAAATAGAGGACGGACATTGAAGGAGAAGCATATGTGGAAGCGGGTAGCACATTCTCAGTGCTATGTTGTACACCCCTAGCAGTGTCAAAGGGATTGTTTTAAGAAAACATATAGAAAGCAATTAGATAAACACAAACAATGTAGAAAAAAACAATGAAAAAAGAAAGCACAGACTAGGACTCTGTCTCACAGAGAGGACAATTACAGGCATATAATGAAGGAGGCTATACAGGTAAGGAGTGTAGGGAGAGGAAAGTTCCCCTGACATATTGGGACAAAGAAAAATTATTATTAAGTGCTCACAGGTGCAAGACAATATTGTAATTGTATATTACACTCATGTTGCAAATATGCAGTTAGGAACTTGAGACTGCCAGCAAGGGAAAGAGGAGGAAGGGAGATCAAGAAGAATCATAAGAGGGATGCCTGGGTGGCTCAGCGGTTAAGTGCCTGCCTTTGGCCCAGGGTGTGATCCTGGAGACCCAGGATGGAGTCCCACATCGGGCTCCCTGCATGGAGCCTGCTTCTCTCTCTGCCTACGTCTCTGCCGCTCTGTGTCTCTCTGTCTCTCATGAATAAATAAAATCTTAAAAAAGAAGAAGAAGAAGAAGAAGAAGAAGAAGAAGAAGAAGAAGAAGAAGAAGAAGAAGATCATAAGATGAACAGGAAACCTCTTGGGAAAAATGCAATTGGAATCAGAGGTGAAAAGTGTTTTAAGCAGAGAGACTGAATTGTTTTCAAATGCTTCCAAAGGAAGACATTTTAAGAAAAACCTATTGGAGTTCAGAATCAGAATCAACAGGGCCCTTTCAGCAAGAAGTTATTCTAGAGGTGGGAGCAGGATCCAGATTCCAGCTAGAAGGTCAAGAGGAGTTGAGGGAGTTTATAGAAAGCATCTTTTCAATAAGGTTACCAGTGAAGAGAATAGAAAGTATATATCCCTCATTTCAGTGAGTAGTAGTAGGATGGAGTGAAGAACTATTTGGGTTTAGGACAGAACTTGATTGAGCAGTACCATAAACTCAAGAGGATGCTCTAGAAATCAAAGGTATAAAACATAAATGTAATAGTCAATGAGCAAGTGGCTGAAAGAGTAGTCAGAAAAGAGCTGGCTGAGGGCAAAAGAGTGAATGTTAGGCCACAATGAAGAAAGGAGCTATTCTTTCCTTTGAGGCTGGAGGAAGAAGAGGTCAGAAGGGACATACACATACTGAGGTAGAGACGGGGAGTTTTGATTTCATGGCTGAGGAAACTGTGATTTTATGCATTGCCTTAATATCCAGTGTTTTTGAGAAGAGCCCAAAACTTTTAGATAAGGGTTAGTCAAAAAAATGAGACAGGTGAACAAATTAACACAGATAAAAGGATTGGTAGCTGTTTGTAGGCTAAGCAGAGAGTACTCGGACTTGAAGTATTACTAGTTGACCTCATCTTGTTACTATTTCAATGACTCTCTGGCTCCTGGGAGCACAGTGGATAATGCAACGGTAGGCTTACCCAGACACTGATAGCTACGAAAAGAATCAGATAAGGAAAGGACAGAGAACTTAGAATGCTAAATTGTTTTTTGGGGGTTTTTTTTTTGTTGTTGTTGTTTTTTTTCACTGACATGGCGGAACCTTGGAGAGAGTAAGAGGAAGGAAAGGAACAATTTCCGAAAGAGGTTGTTATGTGAGAATAAGGAATAGCTAAGGAACCCTTAAACACCAATGTAGGATAAAAAAGTGACCATCGTAGGACTGAAACAGGAGGGGGTAAAAAAAGAGAAAATTGTGTTCAGAGAGGCTCATTTCAGATTCAACTTCTTGGACCTGAAGGAGATTCAAGTGATTTTAATAATCCAAACTGAGGATGTGTATGGGAAGTCAAAAAAAAAATTTTTTTTTAAGATTTTATTTATTCATGAGAATACACAGAGAGGAGAGAGAGAGGCAGAGACACAGGCAGAGGGAGAAGCAGGCTCCATCCGGGGAGCCCGGGGTGGGACTCGATCCCGGGTCTCCAGGGTCACGCCCTGGGCTGAAGGCGGCGCTAACCGTTGAGCCACCCGGGCTGCCCTGGGAAGTCAAAATTAAGCGAAGGACACTCAAGACCTATGAATGATTATTGGCAACGACGATGACAAAGAAAGATACACCACGTGACCTTATTAACTCTTTGTTATGTGCTGGGAGCCCTGCTAAGGGCTTTACTTCTGCTACCTCAGTTCACCTTCACCTACTGCATGGGTGGTAGGTAATATGCACAGCCACTGGGCTGATTATTCTCCCCTCCCCAACAAAAGGTATTGAATTAGTTAATAATTTCAGGCCATATATAGGTTTTTTAATTTTCTAAGCACCCTGAGCACTCAAGGTCCACACAGGCCTATTGCAGATAATTCATTAGGGACAGTACAGAACAGTTAACTTAGAATAGAACATGTTGCATAACCTTGGCTAGGGCTGTAGCTATTACATAAGGCACAGGCTCGGACTGTTTGAGAGAGCTGACAGTGCAAATACAAAAAAAAAAAAAAAAAACCTCTCTAGGAGCATCTGTCTTCAGAAAATACAAGATTTTTTTGAGGAATTGTGATTTTATGTTCTTATTTTTGTTACTTTTTAAGCATAACTGAAACTTTTGAGTCATTCTTATGTTTAAATATATAAATTATTTTAGTCATTTATTATACATTTCTCACAAATTTATACAAATTATGACCAACTGTAAGATGAACTTCAATGCATGTATTTAAGCTAAGTGCATCAGTGCTTTATTAGTAAATAGGTAAGTGGTAAGCACTCTGAACTGATCATTAAAAATGCATCACTTAACATTCTGAAGCACTTGCTTGCATTATGATCAGATAATTGCAGCAATTTTTGTTCCTAGTTTCATTAAATAGACTACCCAGCACTATTACACCTTGTATAGTTATTGCCACAGAGTTCCAAAACCCCAATCAGGTGAGGGTCGGGGCTACTCCATAATTACCATCTGTTTAGCTCTGTTAATGTTTCTCATTATAACTCAGAAGGTCAATGATACTGTTCCTGATAGCAATGCAGCAAGGCCAGAAGCAATAAAATAGTTCTGAGACTAAGGAGGCTCTGCTCCTCCAGCTGATGGACAGTTCATTGCTTGCGTATAAACCAGTGAGAGCACTGGGAGAAACAGAACTTTGCAATATGGTCGATATCCAAGTACAATAATATTTGATGGTTTTTCAGTAAACTACATTGTTCAATTAGAGGACATGAGGAGCATATAATCTCGAGAAAAGCAACATTTGTTTTTGGTTTTGTTTTCACAACCTCAGACTCTTTGGATGAGCATTTCAAATTCCCTAGACAGGTTTTTCTTCTTTAGTAGCACATTAGAATCACCAGGGGACTTTACACACTACCAAAGGTCTGGCCCCACCCCACGCCAATTAAATATGAATTTGTGGAGAGTGATACCCAAGCATGGAAATGTGTTTTTTAAAAGTGCTGCAAGTGTCTCTAATGTGCTAGGAAGGTTTAAAACCGCTACTCAACAATTAACATTAAACGATAATAATTGTCAGTATACATAGATCCATTTGTGAAAAACCGGAATTTTTCTTTTTAGTTTCAACTCCTACTACTTGTATAAGAAGACATGCATAGTTCATACGTTAACCATTGACTTTAATTAATCTTTTAAAATGAGTTAGTAAGTAATCTTTCGAAAACTTAACATCTAACTTCGTGTTCTTATAGAGAAATTTCAAATCAATGTGAGATTTGATTGTGAGAATCAAACGGCATTTATTCCTGGGAAGAACTTTTAGAATCTGTGCGAAATAGACACGGGATTTATGTTTATCCATAGGGTCGTATAATTAACTCTATCGTTTTAGTTTATGTAAAGCTCTTACCTCAAAAAAATACTTAATGTAACTATCATTAGATACTTATTGCCTATAAACATTTTACAGTGTTTAATAGTTTTCATATTTAAATAGACTATAGATCTTTACATAGAGAAACCACTTCCACAGGTTTCTAGAATTCACATTAAAATGATTTATAATTAGGTGACAAAAGATCACAACTGCTAGCTTCCTGACCAGTTAGTTAATCTCTTTAAGGGTAGAGCTAAGAGCACTCACTTCTCTTCACTCTGCCTTTCAGAAGAATAGAGATGCCCCCCTCTTAGGGGGCCAGTGTTCCTTATCTCTTTGATCACCTATAAGAACGATATAGACTAATCTAAATTTAGTTTTACAGCAAATGTGAAATAAAATGCTACTTATAATTTTTAAACCTCTGACACCTTGGCTTTATGTTGCTAGTTTGAGATTTTTGAGTACTATTTTTTTTTTAATTTAAAATGTCTCAAAACTATTTGCTACAGTCTCATTAAACTCCACACATTGTTTTCAAAAGATATTCTTTTCTTTTTGTTTTTTTTCAACTAGGACCCCTACTATGGCTGGTGGCCTATTTTCTATTGACAGAAACTACTTTGAAGAGATAGGAACTTACGATGCAGGAATGGATATCTGGGGTGGAGAGAATCTTGAAATGTCTTTTAGGGTAATTGCATTTTACTTTATTTTTTTTTACTCTGAACACACTATGCTGTAGCATGCACATATAGAGCCAATAATTTACTGTCAAATCTTTTTTTTTGTGAAGTGATGCAAATTATTGATCAGTTGGTCATTTTAATACTTATTCAGAAGCTTTGCTAGTCTTTTTGCATGCAATATTTACTGTTAAATGGGAAATTATAGCTATCTTTAAAGTTTTCAAAAATAATTCTTTTATTCATCTTACAAAGACTTTAGGGCTTTCAGTTTTTGAAGTAAAGAAGGGCTTTATTTTTTAAATAAAGCATTACCCTGTAAAATCACTTTGTGTTTTCAAACTGAAACTTGGAAGTAATTATGTTACCTGAATTTGCAAGTGCTGTCTAGGTTATTCTCAAATACCTTTAAGAATAACCTGTGGTCAAAGGAACTCTGGATAATTCTGCAAGTAGCATGACTGGTTTCACAACTATAGACATTATTGTTTGATGAATCAGTTTGAATAATGCAAATTCACTTATTAAATGGCCTTCCAAGCAAGTAAAAATTAAGGATGAATCCTTCATGCATATGATATTGGAGAGCATATGAATAATTTTTATATTTTGTTGTATATGGAAATTTAAAAAACAGACACATAAATGTGCCTTCATGCTAACAAATGATAAGAGCTAGAATAGTGGTTTTTTCTTCAAACCACATGTATTATTATTTTTAAATGAATTAAGTTAATAATACTGTTTTCTTTCTTCCTTCCTAGAATTTAACATAAAATATTCAAAATACTATATTAATTTTGCCAAAATTATGCAATGAAATTATTAAAGTTTAGATATATTTATCCATGAAGTTCAAGAGTTAAGACTTTTAATTTATCATTTAGAAAGTTATTTGTTTTTCACTAATAAAATATAAATATATGATGTGTAAGAAAAGTCAAAATTTGAGAATAAGAATTACTTTGAATTTATATAATGTGGGATATAGTGGATCTCAGATAATCTGAATTATTTTTGAACCACTAGAATGGTCTTATTATGCCATTTTTTGCCTATAAAGCTTCCTACAGACAATGTTTCAGAACATCATTAGCTAATGGAATTTTATTCTTTCCATATTGGCTTATGTACTTATAGTCAGTTTAGAACTTGCCCCATAAGATTAAGTACCATACTCAGAAATGTATTCATGACACCACGCACATCATATATCTGCACAAATTTAAGTATATTTGGGGACCCAAACTTTTCATTGGGTGTAGTAGTTCTCATAGTGCAGAAAATAAGAGATGACAGTTAAAAAAAAATAAAAACAAAGAAATGAAAGGAAGGAAAGAAGGGAGGGAGGAAAGAGGAAAGGAAGGGAGAAGGGCTGAAGGAAGGTAGTCCACTGAAAAGCTAAAAAGAAAATTTGCAGTTACACTAAGATGTAGCAATGAGAGTATTTACCCATTCGCTAACCAATGTTCCTTGGATATTTTGCTGGGATTACATAAGAAAAAAATATCAATATAACAATATTGCTATTATCTGTGATCCTATTGCTCACCTTTTCTTCCTAAGATTTCGATTCACCTCTTTTTTCTCACCTATTAAGCTTGATTCTCTGCCAGTGGATTCCCTTAACTTTCATCACATAGTTTCCATATTGGATGGAGGCTCTTTAACTAATTGAAAGGTATGTTAGGGAGCGGCTTAGTGGAATAATATGAAAAACCAGGAGAACATGAGAAATGCAGCAGATACATAACTGCACCAAAAAAGAGGATTTGGGAATATGGTAGGTGAAGCAGATACTAGATGGACTAATACTTATAAATCAGCAACAGAAGGGGACCTTGGCAGATTTTGGTGGACTCCTGCATCATTCACCTCACTTCATCTCATTATGTAGACACTTTACCATCTCATATCATCACAAGAAGAAGGGTGAGTACAGTGCAGTAAGGTATTCCCAGAGAAACAGACAACATTCACATAAATTTTATTATAGTAAATTCTTATAATTGTTCTATTTTATTATTAGTGATCATTGGTAATCCCTCACTGTGCTTAATTTACAAATTAAACTTTATCATAGGGTATGTATCTATAGAAAAAAAACATAGTATATGTAGGATTTGATACCATCTTTGGTTTCAGGCATCCACTAGGGGCTTGGAACATATCACCCATGGATAAGGGGAGACTACTGTAAAAAGTGACTGTTTTGAATATTTTAAAATGTATCACTGTCTTTAGTTTCCATATGCTTTCAGAAAAAAACAAAATATATATTTTGCTTTCTATTATACTCTTGATTCATGTTTTACTTTTCTTTTTATGATGTGGATGTAAATGTGTTAATAGTACTCTAGCTAAGGAAGATATTGAATAAGAGAAAATGCTAGAACAGTATATTAGGAAAAGAATGAGACTCTCTCTGTAGAATAATTTTATGAAAAGGTATGCAACTTAATGAAATGATAATATGTTGAGGGTTTAAAATCAGAAAACCCTAGACTAATATCCAGGTCAATCATTATATAACGGACATATATTGAGCATGTAGTATGTGCTTTATACTTTTCAGATATTGAGACTACAAAAATGAATAAGGCATGATACTTTTGCTACCAAAGAATCACATTTCTATGAGAGAGATACATAGGTAATATTGACAGTAAAAATGTGATAATTTATTTTATAAAAATATGTATGAGATTTTCTTGTCTCTGTCATGTTAATATAGGCAAATCACTTAACCTCCACTGTGAAAAGCTGAATATAATAATAATAACGAAGTTAGTGTTTTGTAGCTCTAGCTTAGGGTAAGTAAAAAACAGAAATATTAAGGGCTTGCAAAACATGAGGACTTTGGCTGGCCTTAAGGAGTTCAAGCCAAATCAAAGGAATGAATTTATGTGGATTTATTTACATAACAGTATCACTTGATCTTTGATGCCCCAACTACTATAAGTCCTGAGAGATGTTGAAAATGGAATGAAAACTATAGACCTCCCAAGAAAGATACATCCTATCTCTTATACACAATAAGTCTGAATATAGTTTCAAAGAGTTGAAGAAACCCTTGACTTCTCATGATAAACATCTTTGGTATAAAACAATAGTGACTTCTAATACTTATAAATCTTATAAGTAGAGCAGTTGAGAATTGAACTGTAGCATTCTGAGGCCAGTGGCTATATTATTATTGTACCACTACTTCCCCCCACTAAGATTTATATCTTCATAACATGATAGTCCTAACAGCTGATAGTATTATCAGGAGAGAAGGGAGGAGCTAACAAGCAAATGTGATTTTCCTCCACGGTTCTGAGATGGTTGCCTCATCTAGTGATCTTATCTTCCTCTTACAGGCTTTAGCTTCTTATGCTAGATGATAACACATTTAACAATGGTGTGAATGTGTACGGGTAGATCCTAGTGCTTCTGAAAACGTGGTCTCATATATTGCTCTCCACTCCATGACATCACAATAAAAATAACATAAATCCTAAGAATACTGTTTAAACATAAACGTTAATTTATTTAACCGATATTTGTTGAGCTCTTATTCATTAGTTGTAGGGGATACATTAGTGAACAAAACAGACAAAACTGTGTGTCCTTATGGTACTTATATTTTAGTGGAGGCAAACAATAAACAAAAGAAGTAAAATATATCAGAAAGGGAGACAGAACATAAAGACTTCTAACTCTGGGAAATGAACTAGGGGTGGTGGAGGGGGAGGAGGGCGGGGGGTGGGGGTGAATGGGTGACGGGCACTGAGGGGGACACTTGACGGGATGAGCACTGGGTGTTATTCTGTATGTTGGTAAATTGAACACCAATAAAAATTAATTTATTAAAAAAAGAAGTAAAATATATTAAAATATTAGTGATAATTGTTAAAGAGAAAAAATAAGGAAGGAAAGAGGAATATGATGATAGATGTTGGAGATGGGTAGGCATTGAAATTTTAGGTAGGACAGACTAGAAATGAATATCCATATAGTTGATGACAAGGTGAACCTAGTATGGTATGAATTTACCTCTATCAAAAGAGTCATCTATCTTTAAATGATATTCCTGATGCCAATGTAAGTACCACCCGAACAGCATTATCACCCAAAGTCCTTGCCTTTCATGAGCAATAGCACAGGAGTAACCCCCTTATGGACTCTGCAGATATTTAAAGGGTTATAAAGTAATATTATGAACAACATTACGACAATAAACTTGACAATTATGACGACAAACAAAAAATATAAAACTTAAAATTATAAAAGAAAACATAAAAGAAAAACTGTTCTGACTTCTGAACAGGCAATCCAAAAAGTACAAATTGACAAATTAGAATTCACCAAAATGAAAAATTTTTGCTCTTCAAAGCTTCTGTCAAGAGACTGGAAGGACAAGCTCCTGACAGGAAGAAACTGGCAACAAATAATATACCTGATAATGGACTTGTGTCCAGGAAAACAAAACAAAACAAGCTCTCAAAACTCAATACTAAGAATAAAAATCAACCCATTAAAAATGGCTCAAAGATTTGAACAGATACTTCACAAAGGCAGGCATAAAGATAACAAGTAAGAACATGAGAAAATCGTTAATATTATTTGTTATTAGAGAAATGAAATGAAACCCATAATGAAATCACACTAACCCATCTATTAGAATGGCTACAATTAAAGGAGTTTTTAATAAGCTATATCGGACTATGGAAATACTAATTTTATTATTATCATTGCCCTTAAAATATAAACTATTTTATCAATAACCAGTATTTTAATCAGCAGGTTGGAATAAGAAAATTAAGTGCCTCAATTTTCTTTTTCTTCCAAATCACAATGAAAACAGTGGTATATTTATCTGAAGGATATAACCAAGTGAAATGTCTTATGATGTGAAATCCATTTATTTCTAAATTGCACAAGCAATGAAGTGGAAAAGAAATGAGAGCTGACATAATAAATAATGGAAAAATGAAAGGCAAAGGTTCTTACTGAGCAGAAGAGT